GAGAAAGGGCAGGAAATGTGAGGGGAAAAGGCGGGAAATGTGAGGGGGAAAAGGGAGGGAAATGTGAGGGAGAAAGGGCAGGAAATGTGAGGGAGAAAGGGCAGGAAATGTGAGGGGAAAAGGGAGGGAAGCGGGAGGTGAAATGGCAGGAAATGTGAGGGAGAAAGGGAAGGAATTATGAGGAGAAAAGAGCAGGAAATGTGAGGTGAAAAGGGCGGGAAATATGAGGGGGAAAGACGGGAAATGTGAGGGAGAAAGGGCAAGAAATGTGAGGGGGAAAGGGTGGGAAATGGGAGGGGAAATGGCAGGAAATGTGAGGGAGAAAGGGCGGGAATTATGAGAGGGAAAAGGGCAGGAAACGTGAGAAGATGATTCTTGGCATCATTCCATGGCATCCTGGCACTCCTGGGTCAGGAATAGTGTGGGAAGCAGGAGCAGGGCAGGGATTGTCCCCCTGTGCTGGGCACTGGTGGAGGTGAAACCCCTCCAGGAGCCAAAGATCTCCCCCACTTTTCCTGGCCGAAGCCTTTTTCCCTTTGGATCTTTGTAGTTCCTTTTTTTTTTTTTTTTCACCAAAATGCCTGATTTTCCCTCTTTTATCTCTTGCTGTTGCCCCTTCGTGCCTTGGGCGGGTGTTGGGAGGAGGAACCTCCGATAGAACAGAAAACCCCTCGCCCTCAGAATCACCCAAAATTTACACCCTCCCCCCGAGCAAAGGGAGGGAAGAACGATAAACGAAATAAATTAGATTAATTATAAATGGAATTTACTCAAAACGGAACGCAGAGAACAAAATAACCCCCGACAATTCAACAAGAGAATCCAAGCCCCTGTTATTGGGAGATTTTGAGGGGATTTGGGAGCATTTGGGGAGTTTTTGGGGGGATTTGGGAGCATTTTGGGGAGATTTTGGGGGGTATTTTTTTTGGATGCTTTGTGGGAGATTTTTATGGATTATTTTTATGGATTATTGGGGATGTTTTTATGGATTTTTGGGAGGGTTCTATGGGGAATATTTTTGATTTTTTTGGGGTAGATTTTTTTGCGATTTGGGGCGATTTTGGGAGAGGATTATTAGTGATTTCAGGGGGGATTTTTTTGCAATTCGGGGTGATTTGGGAGGGGATTATTTGAGATTTTTTGGGGGCGTTATTTGGCATTTTGGGGACGATTTTTCAAGTGATGTTGTGCTTCTGTTTTAGGGGGGGTCACAGGTCCTGGCCCAGCTCCTGGATCTCATCCAGCAGGAATTCCAGGTCCCTCCGGGTGACGGCCGGGCTGGTGACGACCCCCCTGAAGAAGTTGACGCGGGACCCCTGGGGTTGGTACCCCACCAGCAGGGACCCCCTTCGCATCATGCGCTCCTTGATGGCCGGGGCCACCTGGGGAGGGGACACGGAACATCTGCGAGTTAATTGGGATTTGGGGGAATTTTTTTGGATTTTTTTTGATTTTTTTTTTAATTTTTTTTGTCAGTTTTGTCAAATTTTTTTATTTTTTCTGATTTTTTCATTTTTTTGATTTTTTTCGGATTTTTCTCAATTTTTTATTTTTTTTCGATTTTTTTGACTTTTTAAATTATTTTTTCAATTTTTTTTTCTAATTTTTTCTGATTTTTCCCTGGTTTTTTAATTTATTTTTTTAAATTTTTAAATTTTTTTTCCCAATTTTTTCCCAATTTTTGGGGGAGATTTTTTTTTAATTTATTTTATTTTTAAAATTTTTCCCTTTTTTTTTATTTTTTTCTGATTTTTGGGTGGGATTTTAAGGGATTTTTTTCCAGGCATTTCAGGATCTGGGGGGAGATTTTGGAGGGAATTTGGGAGGATTTTAAGGGATGTTTTGGGATTTGGGTGGATTTTTGGAGGGGACTTTGGGGAGAATTTTGGGGGATTTTTTGGGGTTCAGGGCATGGATTGTGGTTGGGATTTGGGAATTCTGAGCTCACCTTTCCCAGCTTTTCCCAGAATTCCGGGGATTCCTCCCGGCCCCGCAGGCTCGGGGGGATGAACCAGAAGCAGACGTTGATGAATTCCGGCTGCAGGAACAGCGAGAGGGTGTGGGAGGGGAAGGATTCCCAGGATTTGGTGGGAATTTCACCTCATGGATCGAATTCTCTGGGATTGGGATCTGCAGGATTCAATCCTTGGGGATTTAAACCCCTGGAGCAGAAAATTCCAGGGGGATTTAAATTCCAGGATTTAAAATTCCAGGATTCAAAGCTCCAGCCTGATTTAAAACTCTGGGATTTAAAATTCCAGGATGATTCAATCCTCTGGGATTATTAAACCTCGAGGATTTGACCCCTCTGGGATTTAAACCCACCCCCTCAGGAGGGATTAAACCCCTGGAATTCCAACCCCCCAGCACATTTAGGGCCCCAAAGCCCCCCCCAAACCCCCCAATCCCAATCCCAATCCCAACCCTTCCCTACCTCCATGACGAGCCGGAACCCCTCCCTGCACTTCACCTGCTGCAACAGGAACCTGGGGGGGG